GCTCGGACTTCACGTGGGTGAGTCCAGCAGTGTCAGCAGTGGCAAAGACCAAGTCGTCGACGTACACGAGGATGTAGAACGACGGCAAAGAGGTGTCGGTGCGCAGAAACAGTGACGGGTCGGCAGTAGAGGGAGCAAACCCAAGAGCCGCAAGTGTAGTCCTCAATGTGTCGTGCCACTCACGGGGCGCCTGGCGGAGACCGTAGACTGGCCGCCGGAGGCTCCACTGGGTACCAGGAGGAAACGACCCAGTAAAGCCAGGTTGGCGGCGCAGCCAGATCTCCTCGTGCAGGCTGCCCTGCAGGAACGCTGTGCTAAAGTCAAGAGAGTGAAGCTCGTAGTCGCGCTGAGCGGCTATGTGCAGCAGCCCCCGAAGAGTGGTCATCTTCGGGGTGGGAGAGAAGGTCTGAAAGTAGTCAACTCTCTGCCGCTGACTGAAGCCTTGAGCCACGTAACGCGCCTTGAAGACAGGCGGAGAACCCGGCGGCCGCTTCACCCTGAAAATCCACATGCCACTTACGATGTTCGCCCTAGGTGGGGGAACCTCGTCGACGTAGGTGCCTGTGGACTTCCACGAAGCCATCTCTGCGTCCATGGCTTACTGAACTGTGAGGAGTAGGGACCCTCGATCGCCTTAGCGTACGATCAAGGAGTCGGGATGTCTGGTGCATCCGGGTCTCCCTCAGGGGCAATCAGCGTGGACACGAGATGAGGCAAAGCAGCAGCAAAACACTGGAACTCCTCCTGCCTGTCCTCAAGGACGTCCGTGCTAAGAGCACACTCACCCCCGACGGACGGAGGACAGACAGACGCAGACTCAGCAACGAGACTAGCGGCGTAGTCGAGACGACAACGAGCAGCAAAGTCGACAAGCTCAGCAACTAAGGTAGACGCAGCAGTGGACTCAAAGGAAGGGTCAGTGAGAGGGTTGTCGTTTCGTTTTGGCCCCCCCGGACAAATCAGGGGGCCTGGCATGTACTACCCTGTATTTAGCAGAGTCGGGGCGAATCTCGGCCCTTTAGGCTTCAGGGCTGAAATTTATTCCTCCCTGTAAATCAGGTTTGCCGCGGAAAATTCTGCAGCCTCAGTTCTACCACAAAGCTGACAGGTGCACTCCGCTAGTATCAAATTAGCTAGTTAGCAATAGAAAAACTAGTTAGCGTCATTCACTACGCACGCGTAACAGACTTCCTCCTCTTCCAACTCTTAGCAAAGATCTGAGATGTGTTTTGCTGCTTGCTATGCCCATTCAGGCCTGAGGGTGCACAACATGACGGGGATCTGAGATGTGTTTTGCTGCTGCATGTTGGTTCATGCTACTGTCTCTTTGTGTCATGGGATGGGAGCGAGGTTGTAATTGGTACAAGTACCAGTTGTTGGTTGAGTTGAATCTGTGGTCCAGCCACGCAACTCCAAATTTGACTGGCTTCAATGCAATCAAAATAGAAACGGGGGGAGGGGGAATGGAGGAGTTTGGGGGGGGGAGGGGGGGGGAGGAGTGGGAGGGGAAGTTAGAAAGACTTTGTTCCAGGGCTCGCCTAAAATCTACCCTTCACACTCCAGACCTAAGCCCGAAATCAGCCTTGTAATGAATCAGGGCCACAATTTTCTCAACCCATCAATTTCAAATTTCAAGGGCAACCCAGCCCTGGAATTCAAGGTCCAACAGGGCAAACACCCTGCAAGCGACAGGCCTGGTCAGTGACAACAGTAGCCAGGAGACGCGTGACAGTAGGACTGGCAGCACGAAGAGAGTCAGACTCCGGGTCAGCAAGAACAGGAAGAGAGGACTCTTGAGGAGACGGCAACGGGACACGTAGAGGAGCAGTGGAAGGACGCAGTGCCATCTGGTGTGTGCCTGGGACCGCAGGAGGATGTGGACGCGGAGCACGACTACTAGTGCGAGCAGCACGAACAGGCGACGCAAGGCAAGACGCAGGCTCACGACGCTCAGCAAGACCTCCAGTAGGACCAGTGTAGGGAGAAGGAGCAGGCAGGGGGGAGGCTGGCTGTAACTGCGACCGCAACTAGACAGCCTGTGGACACTCTAAGGGAGAAGCAGGACCAGTAAAGGGCGGGAGACCAAGAACCTGTTGAAGGAGCGGAACGAAGTACGGCCGCGGCCGCGCAGCACCTTATGAACCAGCAGGGACAGCACCAGTACCCTGAGCGGCAGCACCAGCGCGAGCAGCACCTCCAGCTCCAACAACGCCAACTCCAGCACCCTCAGAAGCACTAGCGCCAGTAGCACCACCAGCGCCAATACCCCTAGCAGCTCCAGCTCCAGCAGCTCCAGTAGCTCCAGCAGCACCTACTCCAGCAGCTCCAGCAGCTCCAGCAGCACCAGCTAAAGCAGCTCCAGCAGCACCCCCAATCCTAGCAGCTCCAGTACCGCCAGTACGAGCACCTCCGGGACCAGTGGCTCCAGTAACTCCAGTGCCGACCCTAGGGTCAGCAGTAACAGTAGCACCTCCAGCTCCAGCAGCACGGCTCCAGCGCCGGGCAAACCACTCGCGCAGCTCCTGTGGAGAGGGTAGCTCCCGCCGAGACGAAGCACCCGAAGGGGCCCCAAACCCAGCACCGCCAGAGGCCACACGAGCAGACCCAGCACCCCCAGGCTCGACACCCCCAGGCTCAGTACCCCCAGGCTCCGTACCCCCAGGCTCCGCACCCCCAGACTCAGCACCCCCAGACTCAGCACCCCCAGACTCAGCACCCCCAGGCTCAGCACCCCTAGCAGCACCAGAGTCAACAGCTACCTCGACAGGCTCGACTGCGTCTACGTGGGACACACCTGACGGGGCAGGACCCTTAGGGGGGAGGGGGTCTACCCGGGGGGGACCTGGCGCAAGGAAGAGCGGCGGTGGGGGGAGGGGCGCAGTGCGGTAGGGGAAGAGACGGTAGTAAGGCACCGACTCGTCAAAGGTGACGTCCTGGGAGGACAGAACACGGCGCGAGGTGGGGTGGTAAAACTGCCAACCAGGCGCGTCAGGGGGGAAGCCAAGGAAGACGCAGGGAACAGCACGGGGGGACAGCTTGTCCGTAGACAAGTCGCGGACAAACGCCCGAGATCCCCAGACACGAAACGCAGACGCATCGCCAACCTTCCCGGTCCACCGCAAGGTGGGGGAGGTCTCTGGCAAGGAGACCCGGGGTTGAAGGTAGATCTGATGCGCTGCGTACTGAACCGCAAACGGCCACGGAAAATGGGGAGCAGCGGCATGGATCATTGACGTACAAGCGACGTCCATGACCATGCCAATGCGGCGCTCAGCAATCCCGTTGTGCTGTGGAGAGGCCGGAAGCGTGAAGGTCTGGAGGATGCCCTGTGCACGACAGAAGGCTCCCAGATTGGCAGAGGAGAACTCCCCGCCTTTGTCAGAGTGCAGACGCAGAACAGGAAAGTCCGAGCCGAAACTCTCTCTGAGCTGGAGAGGAGCTGCGCGGATCCAGTCGATCAACACATCAGTGACGTCACCCTTGCTGCGCAAGGGGAAAAAGGCAGTGTAACGTGAGTAGTCGTCAACCACCAACAGGAAATAACGCTCGTGACTCTGGCCATGGACGCGGGCGGGGCCCCACACGTCCATGTGAAGAGTCTGCAGCGGAGCCTCTGTCGGAGGAAACTCGGAGGAGTGAGGGGCGGCGCGCTGCCGCCCCTCGACGCAGGGAACGCAGGTAGGGGCAGGCCTCGGAGGGACGGGAGGGAGGGACTGGGGGAGACCAGAGACAAGGACACGGGAGGCCATGCCTCGGAGGCGAGGCAGGGAGGGGTGACCAAGGCGGTGGTGCCAGAGGAGAGTCTGGTGGGACAGTAGACGACACGAGCAGGGAGCAGACTCAGGACGAGACCTGGACCCTGCAGCAAACACCTGACCCGACGCAACTACCTGAGGAGACTCAGTAGTCAGTGTGTACAGGCTCGACCCCGGCTGACGGGTAAACGTGGCCAAGTGTCGGCCCATCCGAGCACACGTACATTGGGTCACCCGCTGACTCGCAGGAGTGAACTGGTCAACCCCCCCATCCTGCAGATCAGCACCACTCACCAAGTTCGTAGAGAACGAGGGGAGGTAGAGACCTGACAGGGTGCCAGAGGGGGCTGCCAGACACGGCAAGACAGTGGAGAGTGGGCAAGGACAGGACCCCCAGAGGGGTCCGCCAGGGAGACCGCAAGTGGCCGACTAAGCGGCGTAAGCGTGGTGCGGTCTCGAAAGAAGGAGCAGGAAGCACCCGAGTCAAGGGTGAACGTGTGTAAGGCCAGAGCCGACGTGGTACATGAGAGAGCAAACTCACCAGCACCTGGGGCAGCAGACGCACTAGCACCTAGAGCAGCAGCCTCACCAGCACCTAGAGCAGCAGCCTCAATGTCCGGGTCAGGCGGAACACACAGGTAACAGTCACCCTCATCACTAGTAGGCAATGCATATATGGCAGTGAGGATAGCATCATAGTCAAGAGTATAGATATCTACCCGCAGCCTAAGCAGCTCCACCCAGTCGGGGAGCTTAGCAGCGTCGCCAAACTCCGTACGCCAGGCGTCGCTCAGACGGGCAAAGCAGCGGGACTCGTTGTGACCAAACGTCCCGCCAGGCTGACCAGTCCGAGCACCAGTGCGAATGACGTACGGACAGCGAGCAGTACCCCGTGACCCGCCACGCTGAGCGTACCACTCACGAAGCGGCTAGGGCGAAAGGACCGCGCACGGACGATGCTCCAGCTGCACCTGGCCACTACAAGCAGCTGCTGAACTACTCACTCCATGACGACTCCCACTACGGCCACCCCGACAACCCCAAGTAGCGTACCACTCACGAAGCTGCTGGGGCGTGAGGGACTCACGCGGACGTCGCTGGAGCTGCATCTGGCCACCGGCAGGAGCAGCAGGAGCAGTGGTAGCCGCAGTAGCAGCAGCAATAGCAATAGCAGTAGTCGCAGCGCGGCCACCCCTATAACCCCAACTAGCGTTCCACTCACGAAGCTGTTGGGGGGTGAGGGACTCACGCGGACGGCGCTGGAGCTGCATCTGGCCACGCTAGGAGCAGCAGTAGTAGTAGAATGAGCAGTAGCAGCAAGAGCAGCAGTAACAGCAGTACAGGCAGGGCAGTGCTCACCAGTGGTGAGAAGGGCAGGCGGACGACGGCGGCAACGGCGAGGCCGCTACCATTGTAGGGCGAGGGCCCCGCGGCAACTGCAGGGGCGGCTACTCCAGGGGCGGTAGTTGTAGGGGCGGCTGCTCCAGGGGCGGCTGCTGTAGGGGTGGCTGCTCCAGGGGTGGCTGCTCTAGAGGCGGCTGCTGCAGTTGCGGCTGCTCCAGGGGCGGCTGCTGCAGGGGCGGCTGCTCCAGGGGCGGCTGCTGCAGGGGTGGCTGCTCCAGGGGCGGCTGCTACAGGGGCAGCTCCTCCAGGGTCGGCTGCTGCAGGGGCGGCTGCTCTAGGGGCGGGGGCGGCTACTGCAGGGGTGGCTCCTCTAGGGGCGGCTGCTGCAGTGGCGGCTGCTCCTGGGGCGGCTGCTTCGGGGGCGGCTGCTCCAGGGGCGGATGCTGCAGGGGAGGCTGCTCCAGGGGCGGCTGCTGCAGTGGCAGCTGCTCCAGGGGCGGCTGCTGCAGGGGCGGCTGCTCCAGGGGCGGGTGCTGCAGTGGCGGCTGCTCCAGGGGCGGCTGCTGCAGGGGCGGCTGCTCCAGGGGCGGCTGCTCCAGGGGTGGCTGCTCCAGGGGCGGCTGCTGCAGTGGCGGCTACTCCAGGGGCGGCTGCTTCAGGGGCGGCTGCTCCAGGGGCGGCTGCTTCAGGGGCGGCTTCTCTAGGGGCGGCTGCTGCAGTGGCGGCTGCTCCAGGGGTGGCTGCTGCAGTGGCGGCTGCTCCAAGGCGCAGGTTAGGGCAGGGCGCCGCGGCGGGGAGGGGTGACGCCACGCGGGTCCCGCAGGGGCGTCGCGACGCACAGGCCTCGCGGGTCCCGCAGGGCGTCGCGACGAGGCGGGGGCGACGCGGCGGGGCCGCGACTGGCGACGGGGTGAGGCAGCTACGGGCAGCGGGGCGGGGCCGCAAAGGGAGCCGCGAGGGGGGCCGCGAGGGGGGGGGGGACGTGAAGGGGCCGCGAGGGGGCCGCGAAGGGGGGCCGCAAAGGGGCCGTGAAGGGGCCGCGAAGGGAGCCGCGAGGGGCCGTGAGGGGGGCCGTGAAGGGGCCGTGAAGGGGCCGTGAAGGGGTCGCGAAGGGGCCGTGAAGGGGCCGCGAAGGGGCCGTGAAGGTGCCGCGAAGGGGCCGTGAAGGGGCCGCGAAGGGGCCGTGAGGGGGCCGCGAAGGGGCCGCGAAGGTGCCGCGAAGGGGCCGTGAAGGGGCCGCGAAGGGGCCACGAGGTGCCTGAAGGGGCCGCGAAGGGCCGTGAGAGGGGTCGTGAGAGGCCGTGAGAGGGGCCGCTACGGGGCCGTAGGGGAGCGCGACGGGCCACCAAGGGCAGGGGACGCGACTAGAGGGTAGGCACACGGGGCGCGACTCGGGCAGGGGCGAAGCGCGCTCCGGGCAGGAAAAAAAATCGATATTTGGTGGGCCCTAGGAAACGTTCCCACTAGGGAACCTGCTCTATACCATGTGAAAGAACAAGGAATGAATGAACTAGCAAGCAGGTGGGTACAAGTAGGAAAACCTAAAAGTGTAGTACCTCATATTGTCTACCCCACTACAGCCTACACAGACTATTGCATATGAGTTTGACATGGACTACAGGAGTAACTGGCTCCGCGGAGATTGTAGCCTCCTGACTGGAGCAACTGACCCATAGGCGACTGGCGACTACCGGAGATTGTAGCCTCCGGACTACTGGCGCTGCTGACGACACGACGGCTGCCTCTACTCCCCCCAGCTGCCCCACACCCCTATCACACACCCCCTGCTGCACCCCTAGCTCCACTCCCACGACACCCCCTAGCACCACTCCTTCGGCTCCCACACACCCACCCCCCTGAGCGGCAGCTGCAGCAGCGGGAGACGGAGGAGGAAGAGGAGTAGTGGAACGGCGCACAGAAACTGCACCCCCATACCCCCCACCCCCAAACCCTGATTGAGGAGAACGGGCAGCAGCAGGGGTGGGGCGCCGTCAGAAGCACGGGGTACAGCGGGCAGCTCAGGGGCAGAGAAGAACGGGCCTGGCACAGCCAGACGAACCGCGCGCAGGCAGCCTGAGCCGCGCGCAGGCAGCCCGAGCCGCGCGCGGGCCTGGCGCATGCCATACGGGCCGCGCGCGGGCCTGGCGCAGCCCATACGGGCCGCGCGCGGGCTTGGCGCAGCCCGTACGGGCCGCGCGCGGGCCGGGCGCAGCCCGTACGGGCCGCGCTCGGGGCTAGCGCAGCCCGCGCTGGCCGGGACGGGCGACCGGGGACGACGGGCTGGTCCCCGTCGCCCGTCGAAGCGCCCCCCGGAGGCGACGCGCGGACCGACGGGGCAGAAAGCCGCCGCGCGCCTCGGGCGCACAGCGGGCAGAGAACCGCCGCACGCCCCGGGGCGCACGGCGGGCAGAAAACCGCCGCACGCTCCGAGCGCGCGGCGGGAAGAAAAATCCGTCGCACGCCACGGGGCGTGCAATACACTGAGTAGCAGCGGAAGCAGTTAGGTGGACCCACAGGCTAGGAGTGTAAATGCTCTGAAACTATGTTACTATGGTAAGCACAGTGAGGAGCCATGGCTAGGGTTTAGCTAGTTAGGCAAGAGAGAAATGAACAAAGGAGGACTTTCACTAGCAGCAGTTGGGATACATATAGCAAACCCTAACAGGGTTATACTCGCTATAGAGCACCCCACTATAGGCTAGATAATAACATTCTGACATTGTCTGTTGGCTTCGTGCATGCGTGTATGTGTGAATGTGTGTCATCATATGTATGTGTTGTGTTGTGTGCATATGCGTTTTCATCCATGTTTCCATTGCATTAATAACACATGTCTGTGGGTTTTAAAAATTGGGATCAAACTTGTCAAACATTATATATGTTATACTTGTGTAGGCTACAGTGGGTTAGCCTGTAGGGGGTACACAATTCTACGGTTTACTACTTGTACTCTTTTTCACTTCTAGTTGACCCATTTCCTGTTCGCTTATTCTCACATGGTATAGAGCGGGTCCTTCTACGGACCGTTTTTTTTTGGGCCCACCGAAGCGCCCCCCGAGGCGCGATCTTTTTTTTTAGCGACCCCTCGGGTCGCCATTTCCCCTGCGGCCCCGCCGCCTTCACTGACGCGGCCCCGCCGCCCTCTCTATCGCGGCCCCGCCGCCTGCTCTCACGCGGCCCCGCCCCGGCTCCTTCGCGGCCCCGCCGCCTGCTCTCGCGCGGCCCCGCCCCGGCTTCTACGCGGCCCCGCCCCTGCTTTCACGCGGCCCCGCCGACGGCTTTGTCGCGGTCCCGCCCAGGCCCTTACGCGGCTCCGCCGCCTGCTCTCACGCGGCCCCGCCCCGGCTCCTTCGCGGCCCCGCCGCCTGCTCTCGCGCGGCCCCGCTCCGCCTTTCACGCGGCCCCGCCGACGGCTTTGTCGCGGCCCCGCCCCGGCTTCTACGCGGCCCCGCCCCGGCTTTCACGCGGCCCCGCCGACGGCTCTGTCGCGGCCCCGCCCAGGCCCTTACGCGGCCCCGCCGCCTGCCCCCGTCGCGGCCCGGTCACCTCCTGACGGCCCCGCCGTCCCTTCGTGACGGCCCCGCCGTCCCTTCCTGACGGCCCCGCCGTCCCCTCCTGACGGCTCCTGCCGTCCCCTTCTACCGGCCCCGCAACTGCACCTGCTGGCCCCGCCGCTGCACCTACCGGCCCCCCCACAACACACCCCCCCTTTTCCCGTCGCCTGTCGAGGCGACCTGAGGGGGCCGGCAGAGGGGTGGCAGGTGTGTGGCCTCCCCTGCTTCTCCTCCTCCTTCCTCTCCCACTGCAGCAGCCGAGCCGCTCACCTGCAGCAGCCGTGCCGCCCCACAGCCGAGCCGCCCTGCCGCCGAGCCGCCGGGTCGCTGAGCTGCTGAGCTACAGTTGCTGCCGAGCCGCCCTGCCGCCGAGCCGCCGAGTCACCGAGCTGCTGAGCTGCAGTTGCTGCTGAGCCGCCTTGCCGCCGAGCCGCCCGAGTCGCCCGAGCCGCCGAGCCGCCGAGCTGCCGAGCCGCTGAGTCACCGAGCCTACTATTCCCACCACTGGTGAGCTCTTGCCCTGCTAGCACGCTGCGCGTCGCCTGCTTGCCTGCCTGCCTGCCTTTTGGCTTGCCTGGCTGCCTGCCTCCCTGCTGCTAGTCCTGCTCCTGCTTCTACTTGCGGAGCCACATGCAGCCCCAGCGACGCCGGCGTGAGTCCCTCACGCCCCAGCAGCTGCGTGCGTGGTACGCTGGTTGGGGCTGTAGGGGTGGCGACGCTACTCCTACTACCACTCCTGCTGCTTCTACTCGTGGTGGCGGCCAGATGCAGCTCCCGCGACCCTCTCGCGTGTCTCTCACGCCTCGCCAGCTTCGTGAGTGGTACGCTCAGAGTGGAGGGTCTCTCAGTGCTGTTCGCTGCTCTTACGTGATTCGCACTGGTACTCGGACTGGTCAGCCTTGTGGGACACGTAGTCATACACCGTCCCGCTGCTTCGCCCGTCTGAGCGACGCCTGGCGTACCGTGTTTGGCGACGAGGCTGAGCTTCCCGACTGGGTGGAGTTGCTTAGGCAGAGGGTAGATATATACGCTCTTGACTATGATGCTATTCTCACTGCCATGTATGCATTGCCTACTAGTGCTGACCGTGCCGGTCACCTGTGCGTCCCGCCTGACCCAGGTATAGGACCTGCTGCTCTAGCTACTGGTGAGGCTGCTGCTCTGGGTGCTAGTGAGTCTCCTGCTCCAGGTACAGGTGCGGCTGCTGCTCTAGGTGCTAGTGAGTCTGCTTCCTCAGGTGCGGGTGAGGCTGCGCTCTCAGGTACCGCGTTGGCTTCGGCCTCCCTCACCTTTACACTTGACTCTGGGGCTTCTCGCTCCTTCTTTCGGGACCGCACCACACTCACGCCGCTTGGTCGGCCGGTTGCAGTCTCCCTGGCTGACCCCTCTGGGGGTCCTGTCCTCGCTCACTTCTCCACTGTCCTCCCGTGTCCGGCTGCCCCCTCGGGCACCCTGTCTGGCCTGTACCTCCCCTCGTTCTCGACGAACTTGGTGAGTGGTGCAGACCTACAGGATGCGGGGGTTCACCAGTTCACTCCTGCGAGTCAGCGGGTGACCCACTGCACGGACGCACGCACAGGCCGGCACCTGGCCACGTTCTCGCGTCGGCCGGGGTCGAGCCTCTACACCCTGAAGTGGGTCACCCACTGAGTCTCCTCCTGTCCCCGCGTCCGGTCAGGTAGCGGCGTCGGGTCAGGTGTTTGCTGCTGCGTCCAGGTCTGGTCCTGAGTCTGCCCCCTGTACTTGTCGCCTCCTGTCTCACGAGACTCTCCTGTGGCACCACCGTCTTGGCCACCCCTCCTTGCCCCGTCTTCGGAGCATGGCTTCCCGTGTCCTTGTCTCTGGTCTTCCCCAGTCTCTCCCTCCTCTCCCCTCCGGGCCAGGACCTTCCTGTGTCCCCTGTGTCGAGGGTCGCCTCCGGGCTACTCCTCACTCCTCCCACTTCCCCTCGACAGAGGCTCCCCTGCAGACGCTTCACATGGATGTGTGGGGCCCAGCCCCCGTCCGTGGGCAGGGTTACGAGCGCTACTTCCTGTTGGTGGTTGACGACTACTCGCGTTACACCACAGTCCTCCCCTTGCGCAGCAAGGGTGAGGTCACTGAGGTGCTGATCGACTGGATCCGCGAGGCTCGTCTCCAGCTCAGGAAGAGCTTCGGCTCGGACTTTCCTGTTCTGCGTCTGCACTCTGACAGAGGCGGAGAGTTCTCTTCTCGCCTTCTGCGGGACTACTGTCGTGCACGGGGGATCCGCCAGACCTTCACGCTTCCGGACTCACCACAGCAAAATGGGATTGCTGAGCGCCGCATTGGCATGGTCATGGATGTCGCTCGTACGTCCATGATGCATGCGGCTGCCCCCCATTTTCTGTGGCCGTTTGCGGTGAGGTACGCGGCGCATCAGCTCAACCTTCACCCCCGGGTCTCTCGGCCTGCGATGTCCCCAGCCTTGCTGTGGACGGGGAAGGTTGGCGATGCGTCTGTGTTCCGTGTCTGGGGATCTCGGGCGTTTGTCCGCGACTTGTCTGCGGACAAGCTGTCCCCTCGTGCTGCTCCCTGTGTCTTCCTTGGCTTCCCCACTGACGCCCCAGGGTGGCAGTTTTACCACCCCTCCTCTCGTCGTGTTCTGTCCTCCCAGGACGTCACGTTCGACGAGTCAGTCCCCTTCTACCGTCTCTTCCCCTACCGCACTCCTTCCCTCCCCCCTCCCCCGGACTTCCTTGTACCGGTTCCCCCCCCGGTAGACCCCCTCCCCCCTCAGGTTCCTGCCCCCTCAGGTGTGTCCCAGGTAGACGCCGTTGACCCGGTCGAGGTTACAGGTGACTCTGGTGCTGCTGCGGGTGCTGAGCCTGGGGGTGCTGACTCTGGGGGTGCTGTGCGCGGGGGTGCTGAGCCTGGGGGTGCTACTGCTGGGGGTACTGGGCCTGCGAGTGCTACTGCGGAGGGTGCGGAGCCTGGGGGTGCTGAGCCAGGGGGTGCTGTGCCTGGAGGTGATGGGTCTGGGGGTGCT